TGTCAACAACCTCAAAACTTAACCTAAGGTTAAGTTTTTGAATTTTTGATATAATTTTGAAAGTATAAGTTCTTAGTCAATGAAACTTGGACTATAGGGTAATCAAGTATCCTGTATCATGTGAGTAGAATTCAGGTCACTAAGTTAAGGTCAAAGGTCATTTTGGTCAACAAACTTAGACTTTTTTGTGGTATCTACATCAAGATTTTGAATTTTTAACATATTTTCAAAAGTGTTTGTTCAAATCCCATGAAACTTGTACCCAAGGGTTATCAAGTATCACAAATCATATACACAAATTTCAGGTCACAAGGTCAAAGGTCATTTTAGGTCAGTAGCCTTGGATTATGTTTTCACAACTTCATATGAGAATAAATGAATTATTTTTTGTTATTTGTTTATGATTCTTAATCAATATTCACTTCAAAATGCTGATTATATTCAGAGGATTTCATTTTTGGGGGGCCTGCTAATGGGCCACCCTGCCTGTAATAATGTTCCAACTTCCATTCAATTGCGTAATGCAGGCGAGACCGCCGAGAGTGTTTCCCTTGTTTCAACTTACCGATGTTAGAAAGAATACTTTGAAAATTCAAATCGTGCTGCCTCTCAGCAAGTATACCGCGCTAGATGTCAATACGCATCAGCACGTTTTACTCGTTACTTTACTAAAACCGTCTCAAAAAAACTAACAAATGCACGAAATTAATGGTTAAAACAGAGAGAGAAATGCTCAAGATATTTCAAGAGCTTTAATATATTTTGATTTATCATATTCAAATAAATGCCACCAGGGGAGAACCAGGGAGATCCATGCTAGCAGAAAACTACTAACATGGAACTGTGACAACAGGGGCCAGATATACAGCATATACTTACCCCACAAATTTTAACCCCATTTTCCCCCCAACTGATGATCTGGCCCTGCATGTGAACATGGCGTCACATCCAGTGCAAGTGCAGTCTCCTCCATATATACCTTACCAACAGATAAAGAGTTTTTAGGACAGTTAGTACAACTTATCCCCTCCTCACCAACATTTCTTGTGACTTATGCATAAACATGATGAGCTGATAAATAATCATTGCCTGAACAATTGATTTCCCACCATGCATCTTAATATATGCACAATCAGAAGAAAGTTATAACAATCACTTTTCAATGTGTGAATAGATAAAGGACTTTTCAGCTGTTCCTCTATTTAATACTCAAGAATGATACTGGCAAGACTTGGGCATGCATGATTTGGTAATGGCATTTAAATATCTTGGAGTGTACACAATAAGCAAGGTGTTTCATTGTTATGGAAATCCTCTTTACATGTGCAGTATGTGATTATTTGCTTTCTTTGCTTTCCTGTAAGCTCTTCTGTAAGCTCTTCCCTTTCTTCTGGACATTCTAACTATTTCCTTTGATAAATACATCTTTGATTGCTGCCTGCAACACAAGTGTGAAGTTCACATGTTTTATCAATGCTCTCTTCATCAATAAATAGATTCCATGGAATACATTCAATCGTTTTCTGTAAATCTACGCTATCTGCTTTGTGAAATTGATGGAAAACCCTAGGAAGCAACCGTGGCACACGACTACACTCCATTTAAACGGAATCAAGTTATGATGTAAGGTTTTAATTTCACTGATCCAAGTGGTTACTTGTTTATTTTACACTGTACATTTAGCTTTCCACTCCGATATGCTTCATCGCACTTCTGACCTACATTCATTCTCTCATGTCTGCTAGCTCTTGGCTTCTATTGTTCTGTCCCTATTCATTCATCCTCATGCACATTACCTGCTATAGCACCACACACACACACACTCTTCCTATCTATTGCCTATTCAACCCAGCACACTACATGTATATGCACATGGCACTCTATCTTTTACAAGCTTCACTATTGGTTACCTACTTATTGTCCAATCTTGTGATTGGTGATTATTGTTTCATGGACTGCATGTCAGCCATCTTGGCAGCCATTTTGTGGTTGTAATAAAATCTAACAGTGCAGTTCAAGTCCTCAAACATGTAAGACCACTTTTGTTTTGTGTGGGTCCTTACATGAATATGGAAACCACTGCATAAAATGATGGATTTGAAAGAAGAAATATGTGGGGTGATAAGAACAAAGGAGTTATTTAGTGCATCATGGAAGGTAGCATTAGATGATGGGGGACGATAGCATACACCCAAAAAGAGCTTGCCTTCGTTTCGTGGTAAACTTAATTGAATCCACAACAACTCGTAGCTAGGAATCTCAAACTCGGGGGCGGTGAATCGTTTTCATGCAAAAAGTACACCTCCTGTGTTGTGATTGCGGTCTTTACGAAAGATTTGATATTGTTGTACGTCTAAGAGTTCACCATCGCAGGAATCAGAGTTCATTCATCTATTTCATCGTAAGTAACTCTCACTTTCAGGTCATTCAGTTTATTACCAAGGGAACAGGCATTCAGTGGTAGAAAATTGAGTGTATGACGTAACAAATTGAATGAATTTCAGGTCCCGGATTATGCTCCACGTCACCAGACATGATCAATTTCAAAAGTGGAGTATTTGATGTTAATTGAAAGGTGGAAATATCATTGTTTCAAAGATATCTAGTTTTTAAATATCAACCTTTGGTCAGTTGCTTTAAAACTTCTTATGAGTTCAGTGGTTGTTGTGGAAATGCAAAGAGCATAAAGTATGTACCGTAGCGCCATTTTGAAATGAGTAGATAAGTTGATATGTTGCTGGGTGTTAATCCATGTGTTATGTGTTTCCTTGTCTGGCTTTGGTTCTGCTGACTTTCAAAGTTTCCCATTTTAGATTTTCTAACGTCTTTGTAACACTTGATTCCCTGTCATAGTCCCTCGTTTTGAATGTCTAGTTTGTCCTGGTCTGACTTATGCTGTGGTTCCCATATACTGTACATGTAGCTGCATAGAACTCTAATTTGGGCCTACATGTAATTTGATGAAGTTTGGTCAATATGTGTGGCCCAACCGAGTCCCTTTGAATTCAGGTAGGGTGGTGTTGCACTTCTTCCAGGGTGATGTTACCCAACCTGTACTTGGTTTGAACTGGTTTCTTTTCATGGGTTATTTAATTTGAAAACTGTGGCTGCAATTGCTGCTGAATTAAAAACTGTTGTATTGATTCCTAACATTTTAAACACCACTGTTCAAAACTCAACTGATTTCACTAAAAATCGGTACTTGAGTGACAATTCATGACACAGTAAAATAATTTTTGTTACCTTATTTCCATAAATTACCATAAATATGCAAATGAGTGAATGAGTGAAAAATAATTACCATAGTAATCTATGTTATAAGACCGTGTCAAAAATCCACGTTGCTACAATAACCACAAAAGGAGGCGTGAGCTTAGTTAGCTTCCTTTTAAAGATACTATGTCTCTTTTGCAGCCAACATCATCTTAGATGCTGCTTGCAAGTATCGGCTTGCATGATGATGTAGATATTCAGTAGGCTTGCGGTTGCACCATGTGAGAGAGAGAGAGAGGGAGGATTGAGGAGTCTTGAAAAGGACTCTGACTCTGTAATCTTTCTTGAGGGTTTGTTAGTCCTGAAAAGGACTGTTGGTATAGTCTTGAAAAAGACTGTTGGTTATCTTTCTTAGCTATAGTTCTAAGGAGAACTATAGTGCTTGGAGAGAGGCAGGAGTTGGCTCGACGTTTCAAACAGATTGACTATGCGTCGTCAGGAGTGGAGAATAGCTGGCGTGCATGACGACGGGGAAATACATGACCGTGTGGGCTTGAGTCATCGGGAGTGAACATAGATGGTGTGCTGGTCAGTCTGGCTGTCCGTCTGGGCTGGAGTCTCCGGGTTGCGGACATTGGGAGTTTTCGAATCCATGAGTGGGGTGTGCTGTCGGCGAGACGCTGTGTGTGTCCCGACGTAGGCATCGTTGTAGTCTGCTGTTGTCTGCTGTGCATTGTAGCTGTGAGGCTGGCGGCTGCTTTGAGGGTTCGGCGGGTGGCGGTGGTTGATTTACGGGTGTCTGCTGGGGTGGTGAAGGCGGTGGTGGAGGAGGAGTGACCGGGTAGGGGTTTCCAGATGTCATTGATGTATAATCCTGAGTCTTCTTGGGGAACGGTGTTGTGGCAGTGAATTTTGATGGCTTCCAGGATTCGGCGTGCATACCAGTGCTTCATTATGGAGATGAGATGACCGTTATCCCATTCGATGGTGTGTTCGTGTTGCTGGGTGTGTGTGACGATAGCGGACTTATCCCAATCGCTGAGTCTGAAGCTGGTTCTGTGTTCCTTGAGTCTTGTTTCCCGATTTCTTCCCGTTTCACCAATGTAGACTTTTCCATATTCGCATGGTATTTTGTAGACTCCAGCTTTCTTGTGGTTTGGATGCTTGTCTTTGTGGAGTGGAGTATCGAATGGAGTTTGTTGGAGGAACTGTGTCGAACTTGGATGTCTGCTGCTTGAAGGATACGCTGAATCTTGTGAGAGGCTTGACCGATATAGGGAAGGAAACAGTTTGTTTCGGTGGTGTAGCTGCGGGTTGGTTCTCTTTCAGGGATGGTGTTGGCTGCGGGCTTGCTGGTGGGAGTCTTGGATCAGATCTTATGTCTTGGGTATTTGTTGATGGCAGTTAGGGCTGTGGTGACATGCATTGGCGCAAAGTACATTGAGATATCTCTCTCTCTCTCTCTCGCTCTCTCTCTCTCTCTCTCTCTCTCCAGCCTCTCCTCCCCCTTCCCCCTCTTTCGCTCCTCCTCTCTCTTACCCTCCCTCTCTCTCTCTCTCTCTCTCTCTCTCTCCAGCCTCTCTTTCTTACTCTCCCTCTCTCTCTCTTACTCTCCCTCTCTATCTCTCTATCTCTCTCTCTCTTTCTCTCTCTCTTTCCAGCCTTTCCTCCCCTCCCCCTCTCACTCACTCTCCCTCCTCTTTCTCTTACTCTCCCTCTCCTTCCTCCCCCTTTCTCACTCTCACTCACTCTGTTCTCTTCTTTTTTTCTCTCTTTATCGAGTATAGGCCAGCTGCAGAGGGAGAAACAGCTGAAGATTGCAGAAGAGAGGAAGATGAAGGTGGAGAAAGCTAAGGTCATTGAGGTCAAGGTCAACATGTGGATTGAGGAAAGAACGACTTAGGAGCAGAAATCGAGAAAAGCCAAAGAAACAACTTGAAGCAGAAGAGAAGAGGAGAGTCCAGGAGAAAGCAAAGGTGAGTGTTAAAGGGGAAGTCCACCCTGATATTAAGTTGCTTTTAATAAAAGCAGGAAAATGAGAGAAACAGGTCAGTGAAAGTTTGAGCAAAAACCGACTAGAATAGAAAGAAGTTATGAATTTTCAAAGTTGTCATCATTGAAACACAAATTGGCAACACTGTGACATATCTTGCAAGCTCCTCTCCAATTTTATAAACTTTTGTTTTCTCACTGATTGGTTAGGGAAAAGATGATTCATACAGGGGTTGTATAAAAACATCTTTGAAATAATTATATTTAGGGTGAACGTATCATTGCAAATTTTCTTAAAACCTATCTGCACTAGTTTGGCCAAGAGGGATTAGACCTCCCTGCGTGGTCACTGACAAGTTGTTTATCAGCTCTAAATTGACATAGGAAAAAAGAACCAACTGTCACTGCGCATAGGGACTTTCATGGTGTTAGTGATATGCGCTATACAAATAACGTTCATTATTATTGTTATTATTACTGCTTAGGCATTGTTTGCTATATAGAGGGAAGTATAGGTTTTTGACGTTTTTAAGTACAGGGCAAATAGCAGGGGAGCTTGAAAATAAATGCAAAATATGGCATAATGTTGCCAATTTGTTTTGCAACTTCAAAAATTGATATCTTTCTCATTTTTAATCAAAATTTAATCAAAATTTAATCGAAACAAGAGACCAACCTTTGTTAACTCCCATTGAAAGATGTCACTTAAAATGAACCCTTGTAATTGTATTATCATTCTTTCTAGTCTTTAAAATAGTTTTGTTTAAATCTGTGAGATTCTGTTTTCTGCAATTGCCAGAATAAGAAATCACCTTTCATCTTCCCTTTACTTTGAAGGAGAACTATGGAGAATGGAGGAGCAAGAAGAAGGCTGCAAAAGAGATGAAGGAGAAGAAGGAGAAGGAAGAACAAAGAGCTGAAGCAGAAGCCGAGAGGAGGAAAGAAGAGGCAGAAGATGCACACCTGAACTTGAAGTGGAAAGAAGAGGCCAAGACGAGACCATTTCCCCTAGCTACTCAATTTGGCTATCCTCAGGGCTCTGTCAAAGGTAAACCAGTCAAAGTTACTGCCTTATGCCCCTTTCACAAACCCAACTTAAAGGAGCATCATATAAGTGTGTGAATGGGACCATAAAGACATAAAAACAATGCACATCAGTTTTGTGCTGCTATAAAATACGAATAATTGCCACAGTATAATCTTTTATATTATAATATGAGTAAGGAAATCCTTTGATATTTAAAACTTTTAGGGTTTTGCACGCCTCGGGACGAAAAAATATCATTCGTTCTGATTGCAGATCATCGTCCGTTTTTAGGGGAGATTTACACGTTTCATTGGTTAGTGTGTCCGAACCTAGGTTGGTGTTTTCGTTAGTTTTTTATCCAAATGGCAAAACCCCTATAAACCCCTATAAATAATGGTATCGTCCGTTTTTGGGGGGGGAGATTTACTCATTAATTTTATTGGTTAATGTGTCCGAACAAGGTTTGTTTGAAAATGGCGAAACCATGTTTAGAACTGCCAAAAAGTGTATATTGGCGCTTTTTGGGGTGTTTTTGTTAGTTTTTTATCCAAATGGCAAAACCCCTATAAACCCCTATAATAATGTATCATCCGTTTTTGGGGGAGATTTACACGTTAATTTTCTTGGTTAATGTGTCCGAACCTAGGTTAGTGTGAAAATAGTTTTGTTATCTCTTTATTTAATACACAGCCTGTAATAGGCCAGCCCCTTCCCCCCCCCCCCCCCCCATGGCTACACCAACCACGTTTCCTTACGCTTTCTCGACTATGATATCGTCCGACTAAAATTATAGTTTTGTCATCTCTTTATTTAAAACACAGCCTGTATTAGGGGGGGGGGGGGAGCTTCCTCACCCTTTCCCTCGTGGCTACCCCAATCTTATTTCCTTACTCTTTCTGGATACGATATGTCCAACTGAAATTAAAGTTTTGTTATCTCTTCATGTAATTCAGAGCCTGTATTAGGTGAGCCAGCCCCCCCCCCCATGGCTACACCAACCACGTTAAGTATGATACGTCCGACTGTAATTAATTTGTTTGTTTTGTCTCTTTATTTTAGTGCCTCTATTAGGCAAGCCCCCCCCCCCATAACTACACCAACCACGTTTCCTTATGCTTTCTCTCGACTATAATATGTCCGACTAAAATTATAGTTTTTTTTTTCTTTATTTATACACAGCCTGTATTGGGGGGGGGGGGGGCTTCCTCACCCTTTCCCTCGTGGCTATGCCAATCACATTTCCCTATTTCTCAACAATGATATCTTCAACTAAAATTTGTTTTTAGTTCTCTTTAAAGCTTATCTGCCGTACTTTACAGAGGGATTAGAGCGCCCTGCCAGGTCACTGGACAGGTGGTTTTCTCATCAATTCAGCTCTCAGTTAACATAAGAAAAAGAGGATCATGGGGACCAGTGGTCACCGATAAGGCATTGTTTGTTATATAGAGGGCGCAAGTACTACAAGTAGTGCAGTGGGACTTCAATACAGAGCCTGTATTAGGCGAGCCCCCCTCCCCCTTCCCCGTGGCTATGTAAATCACATTTCCCTGCTCTTTCTTAACTATGAAACATAAAACTGAAATCATAGTTTTGTTAAATTGTATCTCTTTATTTAATACACAGCCTGTATTAAGGGGGGGGGGGGGGGCTTCCTCACCCTTTCCCTCGTGGCTATGCCAATCTTTTTTTCCTTGCTCTTTCTGGACAATGATATGTCCAACTGAAATTAAAGTTTTATTTCTTCATGTAATTCAGAGCCTGTATTAGGCGAGCCAGGCCCCCCCCCCCCATGGCTTACTATTCTCGACTATGATATGTCCGACAGAAGGAAAGTTTTGTTATGTCTTTCTTTAATACACAGCCTGTATTAGGCATGCCCCCCCCCCCACATTCACGTCGTGGCTAGCCAATCACATTTCCTTACTCTTTCTCGAGTATGATACTTCCGACTGTAATTAAAAGTTTTGTTGTCTCTTTATTTTAGTGCCTGTATTAGGCAAGCCCCCCCCCCCCCTTCCCCATAGCTTCACCAACCATGTTTCCTTACGCTTTCTCGACTATGATATGTCCGACTAAAATTATAGTTTTTGGTCATCTCTTTATTTAAAACACAGCCTGTATTGGGGGGGGGGGGGGGGGGGGGGGGGGCTTCCTCACCCTTTCCCTCGTGGCTATGCCAATCTTATGTTTTGTTATCTCTTTATTTATTTAAATACAGCCTGTATAAGGCCAGCCCCCTCCTCCCCCCCATGGCTACACCAACCACGACTATGATACGTCCGACTTAAATTATAGTTTTGTCATCTCTTTATTTAAAACACACCTGTATTAGGCCAGCCCCCTTCCCCCCCCCCCCCCCCCGCCTATGGCTACACTAACCATGTTTCCTTACGCTTTCTCGACTATGATACGTCTGACAGATAGAAATTTTTGTTATGTTTTTCTTTAATACACATCCTGTATTAGGCATGCCCCCCCCCCCCCACATTCCCGTCGTGGCTAGCCAATCACATTTCCTTACTCTTTCTCGAGTATGATATGTCCGACTAAATTTATAGTTTTGTTATCTCTTTATTTAATACACAGCCTGTATTAGGGGAGGGGGGGGGGGGGGCTTCCTCACCCTTTCCCTCGTGGCTATGCCAATCACATTTCCCTATTTCTCAACAATGATATGTTCAACTAAAATTTGTTTTTAGTTCTCTTTAATACAGAGCCTGTATTAGGCGAGCCCCCCTCCCCCTTCCCCCATCGCTATGTGAATCACATTTCTCTGCTCTATCTCGACTATGAACATCAGACTGAAATCATAGTTTTGTTATATTGTATCTCTTTTTTTAATACACAGCCTTGTATTAAGGGGGGGGGGGGTATTCCTCACCCTTTCCCTCTTGGCTACGCCAATCTTATGTTTTGTTATCTCTTTATTTAAACACAGCTTTATAAGTCCAGCCCCCTCCCCCCCCCCCCCCCCCATGGCTATACCAACCACGTTTCCTTACGCTTTCTCGACTATGATACGTCCGACTAAAATTATAGTTTTGTCATCTCTTTATTTAAAACACAGTCTGTTTTTTTTGGGGGGGGGGCTTCCTCACCCTTTCCCTCGTGGCTACTCCAATCTTATTTCCTTACTCTTTCTGGGCTATGATATGTCCAACTGAAATTAAAGTTTTGTTATCTCTTCATGTAATTCAGAGCCTGTATTAGGCGAGCCAGCCCCCCCCACCCCCCCCCCTCTTCTCCTTGTGGCTACACCAACCATGTTTCCTTACACTTTTTTGACTATGATATGTCCAACTGAAATTAAAGTTTTGTTATCTCTTCATGTAATTCAGAGCCTGAATTAGGCGAGCCAGCCCCCCCCCCCCCCTCTTCTCCTTGTGGCTACATCAACCATGTTTCCTTACGCTTTCTCGACTATGATATGTCCAACTAAAATTATAGTTTTGTCATCTCTTTATTTAATACATATCCTCTTTAGGGGGGCCAGCCCCCTCCCCCCCCCCCCCCATGGCTATACCAACCACGTGTCCTTACGCTTTCTCGACTATGATTCGTACGACTAAAATTATAGTTTTTGGTCATCTCTTTATTAAAACACAGCCTGTATTAGGGGGGGGGGCTTCCTCACCCTTTCCCTCGTGGCTACGCCAATCTTATGTTTTGTTATCTCTTTATTTAAAACACGGCCTGTATTAGGCAGCCCCCCTTCCCCCCCCCCCCCTCCATGGCTACACTAACGACGTTTCCTTACACTTTCTCGACTATGATATGTCCGACTAAAATTATAGTTTTTTGGTCATCTCTTTATTTAAAACACAGCCTGTATTCGGGGGGGGGGGGGGGGGGGGCTTCTTCCTCGCCCTTTTCCCTCTTGGCTACGCCAATTTTTTTTCCTTACTCTTTCTTGACTATGATATGTCCAACTGGAATTAAAGTTTTTTTTCTTCATGTTATTCAGAGCCTGTATTAGGCGAGCCAGGCCCCCCCCCCCCCATGGCTTACGATTCTCGACTATGATGCGTCCGACAGTTCTGGAAAGTTTTGTTATGTCTTTCTTTAAAACACAGTCTGTATTTGGGGGGGGGGGGGCTTCCTCACCCTTTCCCTCGTGGCTACCCCAATCTTATTTCCTTACTCTTTCTGGCCTATTATATGTCCAACTGAAATTAAAGTTTTGTTATCTCTTCATGTAGTTCAGAGCCTGTATTAAGCAAGCCACCCCCCCCCCCCACTCCCTCCCTCCCCCCCTCCCTCTTCCCCTGGTGGCTACACAAACCACGTTTCCTTACGCTTTCTCGACTATGATATGTCCGACTAAAATTATAGTTTTTTTTTCTCTTTATTTAATACATAGCCTGTATTAGGGGGGGGGGGGGGTTCCCCACCCTTTCCCTCGTGGCTATGCCAATCACATTTACCTATTTCTCAACAATGATATGTTCAACTAAATTTTTTCTTTAGTTCTCTTTAATACAGAGCCTGTATTAGGTGAGCCCCCTTTCCCCAGTGGATACACCAAACCACATTTCCTTACTCTTTCTGGAATATGATATGTCCGACTGAAATTAAAGTTTGTTTTTACCTTCATTTAATACAGTGCCTGTATTAGGCGAGCACCCCTCCCCCTTCCCCCGTGGCTATGTGAATCACATTTCCCTGCTCTTTCTCAACTATGAAACATTAGACTGAAATCATAGTTTTGTTATATTGTATCTCTTTTTTTAATACAGAGCCTGTATTAGGCAAGCAAATTTCCTTACTCTTTCTCGAGTATGATACGTCCGACTGTAATTATTTTTTTTTTCTCTCTTTATTTAATAGAGCCTGTATTAGGGGGGGGGGGGGGAC